CAAACTCATAAACTACATAAATCCGGTGTGATTTTTTCGCTTCCATTTCTATTAATTTTGATTTGAAAACTATCACAATATTCATTTCCTAAGTTTTAAAACACAAAAACAATTTATGATTTCCGGCTTGTATTTCACCATCATTGAGGCTGAATGGTTAAACATTCTTGACATAATCTTTTTTTGTTTCTTAGCTTTAAAATGACCCCAAATTTGTCTAAATCAAACACAAATAAAAAAGTTATGGTAAAAAAATTCCATTATATCCTCTAAATAACTAACCCTCTCAATTTCACTTTCCACTTCCATTTTGTTTGCCCTCAATCCCCGGCATCCTATAACCCGGCATTTTTTTTTAACCCTAACCCTAACCCTAACCCTAACCCAAACCCCTAACCCTAACCCTAACCCTAACCCTAACCCTGACGTTAATTTAAGGTGGTTTTCCCCCCCCCCCCCCCCACCCAACACACACACTTTTTGTTGTACAGGGAAAATGTAGTCTACAAAATTGGTAATGAAAAAAGGTATATTAAAAAAAATTGGGCCTTACAACTAACCCCCCCCCAGAAATAGGTTTTTTATTTTTGGATTAGTTTTTTTTTTTTTTTTGCTTGTCAACTTGTTCAGGAAAGGGGGGGAAAAAAAATTTTCTCTGGGTCCCCCCCATCCACTTTAAATATCGATTCTACGTGGCTGCTCTTAATAACATTTCAAAATTCCATTTTTGTCCCTAAGATTGTACCATTTCAAACTTAGTCCCCCTTTTCAGCGAAACCCTTGTTATCGCTATCCCCCAAAAACCTAAACCGATATAAACCTGATACAAAAACTTCAAAAACGTCTGCAACTCATTTTCTACAATTCTCATTCTATTAGTGGAAAAATTTCGTAAACTATTTTAAGTAGTTATTGCCCCTGAGAATTTATGATGTTTACAAAGAACTAAAAACTTCTTCCCGACAAGTGTAAAGACAGGGAGAAATCCCGGGGAATTTTCCTGACCTTGGAATTTAAATATTAGGTGAAGGTCAAAGGTCAAGGTAATCGGGAAAGTATGAAAATTGCTTATGTATGCTTCTTCCAAAAACCCTGCCCTTTTACTGAACAAATATTGAATTGTTTATTCTCTTTATTCTACTCATGTAACACAATGTTACAAATGTAACACTACATAACGTTCACAAAATGTTAATTATTTTCACACTTTCTGCAGACTTGGTGACAATTTACATTTTCCTTGTTTTTTAAAAAAATCCTTTAAAGTAACATAATAAAGGGTTGTTATTTCTTCGTCTAAGTTTACCACACTAATATTTGCTTCCCTAACATATTTATAGTAATACTTAAAGGGAAAAACATCATATTGCGAAAAGTAAAAGACTGGAGACAATCCCAGAATTCCTATTGGAACTTAAATATTAGGTGAAGGTCAAAGGTCAAGGTAATGGGAAATTAAAATTGCTCTTTATTTTTTCCTTAAATAACCCTGACCTTTGACTAACAATTATTGCTTGTTATATTTCTTTTTTCTACTCATGTAACACAATGTTACAAATGTAACAGTACATAACGTTCACAAAATGTTAAGTTATATTTCACACTTTCTGCAGACTTTGCAATTTACATTTTCCTTGTTTTTCTAAAATACCGGGGATTAAAGTAACAAATAAAGGGTTGTTATTTCTTCGTCTAAGTTAACCACACTAATATTTGTTCCCAACATTTTTGATAGAATACTTGAAGGAAAACATGCATTTAGCGAATTCGCTATATATGGTTATAGGAATTTGTTATACGGATAAACAATTAGGGATATAGCGAATTAAATTAACATGTCCCCTGGGCTTCGCTATAACCGTGTTTTACTGTAAAGCAAAATTATTTTCTTTAATCGTATCCATAAAAAAAGAGGGTAAACGAGTAGTCCGAGAAATCCATAACTCTAAAAACATTCATTTTCTGTTGCAGCTTGATCATTTGATAAACAAAGTGTTGCAAAAAATTTTAAAAACAAGATGATTTTTGTAAGTACAGTTACAAACATATTATTTTGTGTTTCTTCTGCACATATTCTTTATCTTAGGTTGCAAATAGTCTGTCATTTCAAAAACATTATATAACAATGTTAAAGATGATATTTGGTGAAGAAAGTATTTTTATATGCTTTTTTTTTAATTATAATCGCCAGATATTTCATTATTAACTCTTTCAACAAAATTAATCTGACGTCATCTTATCCCTTTCCATTTAAATAATTCCTTATTTGAAATCTGTCACAATATCTCATGTCCATTACTTATAAACATCAAAATTAAGGTCTGATTTCCGACTGTTGTTCAATTTGGCTGTCTCATTTTCTTAATGTTAAGTCATTTGTATCTTTAAGAAGGAGAAGGCGGTTTTGCCAACAATTTGCAGCTACCAAGAGCCCTTTTGTGGTGTCTCACTGACTTAAGTGGGATGTGTCAATTGCAATCCATTCTTGAGATCTTGGAGGTTCAAAATGGTAAAAAATTCTCATTTTGTCCATTATTAAGCACAATCTGCATTCCAACGACACCAAACTCGTCCTAATCCGATGATCAATTTCAAATTAGTATGGCTTCGGAAAATTCTACAATTTTTCTTTACTATCTTCTATCCGTGACTTTCACTTTCCACTTTCATTTTCACTAATCCTTTAATCTCAGTTGACCTGATCACTTAAATCCATGATCATTTTCGCTTTTAACCCTAACCCTAACCCTAACCCTAACCCTAACCCTAACCCTAACCCTAACCATAACCCTAACCCTAACCCCTAACGAATGGGGATGGATGGATGGAATGGATGGATGGAATGGAATGGGAATGGGATGGAATGGGAATGGGAATGGGAATGGGATGGATGGATGGATGGGAATGGGAATGGATGGATGGATGGATGGAATGGGAATGGGAATGGGAATGGGAATGGGAATGGGAATGGGAACCCTGGGAATGGAATGGAATGGGAATGCTAACCCTGATACCAGGTACAGTTTAAGGTACGAGGTTAGGTTTAAGATACCAAGTTAGGTTTAAGATTAAGGTAAGTTTTAAGATACCAGGTTAGTTTAAGATACCAGGTTAGGTTTAAGATACCAGGTTAGGTTTAATTTACCAGGTTAGGTTTAAGATACCAGGTTAGGTTTAAGGGTTAGGTTTAAGTTTAAGGTTAGGTTTAAGATTAAGTTTAAGATTAAGGTTAGGTTTAAGATACCAGGTTAGGTTTAAGATACCAGGTTAGGTTTAATGGGACCAGGTTAGGTTTAATTTACCAGGTTAGGTTTAATGATACCAGGGAGGTTTAATGGGAATGGTTAGGTTTAATGGGAAGGAATGGGAATGGGACCATGGTTAGGTTTAATGGGGAAGGTTAGGTTTAATGGGAATGGAATGGTTAGGTTTAATTTACCAGGTTATGGTTGGGATACCAGGGAATGGTTTATGATGGAAGGGAATGGGAATGGGAATGGTTAATGGATGGAATGGGAATGGGAATGGGAATGGGAATGGGAATGGAATGGGAATGGGAATGGATGGATGGGAATGGGAATGGAATGGAACTGGATGGGAATGGAATGGGAATGGAATGGGATGGATGGATGGATGGGGAATGGGAATGGGAATGGGAATGGAATGGGGATGGGAATGGGAATGGGAATGGGGATGGGAATGGGAATGGGAATGGGAATGGAATGGGAATGGGGATGGAATGGGAATGGGAATGGGAATGGGAATGGAATGGGAATGGAATGGAATGGAATGGGAATGGGAATGGAATGGGAATGGGAATGGGAATGGGAATGGGAATGGGAATGGGAATGGGAATGGGAATGGGAATGGGAATGGGGAATGGGAATGGGAATGGGAATGGGAATGGGAATGGGAATGGGAATGGGAATGGGGAATGGGAATGGGATGGGAATGGGAATGGGAATGGATGGAATGGGAATGGGAATGGGAATGGGATGGGAATGGGAATGGAATGGGATGGATGGAATGAATGGATGGGATGGGAATGGAATGGGAATGGGATGGATGGAATGGGGATGGATGGGAATGGGAATGGGAATGGGAATGGGAATGGGAATGGGAATGGGAATGGGAATGGGAATGGGAATGGAATGGGAATGGGAATGGGAATGGGAATGGAATGGGGATGGATGGGATGGATGGGAATGGAATGGAAATGGGAATGGATGGAATGGGAATGGGAATGGGAATGGGAATGGGAATGGGAATGGGATGGGAATGGGAATGGGAATGGGAATGGGAATGGGAATGGGAATGGAATGGGAATGGGAATGGAATGGGAATGGGAATGGGAATGGGGATGGGATGGGAATGGATGGGAATGGGAATGGGAATGGAATGGAATGGATGGAATGGAATGGGAATGGGGATGGATGGGAATGGGAATGGGAATGGGAATGGGAATGGAATGGGAATGGGAATGGGATGGGAATGGGGAAATGGAATGGATGGAAAATGGGAATGGGAATGGGAATGGGAATGGGAATGGAATGGGAATGGGAATGGGAATGGGAATGGGAATGGGAATGGGAATGGAATGGGAATGGGAATGGGAATGGGAATGGATGGAATGGGAATGGGAATGGAATGGGAATGGGAATGGGAATGGGAATGGGAATGGAATGGGAATGGGAATGGGAATGGAATGGAACCCCCACTAATGGAATGGGAATGGGAATGGGAATGGATGGATGGATGGAATGGAATGGGGATGGAATGGAATGGAATGGAATGGGGATGGGAATGGAATGGGAATGGGATGGGAATGGGAATGGGAATGGAAATGGGAATGGGAATGGAATGGGAATGGGAATGGGAATGGGAATGGATGGAATGGGAATGGAATGGATGGAATGGAATGGGAATGGAATGGGAATGGGAATGGATGGAATGGGAATGGGAATGGGAATGGGAATGGAATGGGAATGGGAATGGAATGGATGAATGGAAAGGAATGGAATGGGAATGGGAATGGGAATGGGATGGGAATGGGAAAAATGGCTGGCAATGGGAATGGGAATGGAATGGAATGGGGATGGAATGACGGATGGGAATGGGAATGGGAATGGGAATGGATGATGGGAATGGGAATGGGAATGGGAATGGGGATGGAATGGAATTTGGGATGGATGGAGCAAACTAAATGGGGATGGATGGATGGAATGGAAGAATGGGAATGGAATGGAACTCTCACAGAATGGGAATGGGAATGGGAATGGGAATGGGAATGGGAGAACTTGGAATGGGACCTTGCCAATGATGGACCAAATGGAATGGAAATTGACTGAAAACTGAGAAGTGGGACTCCCTGGAAATTTTAATGGAGGGAATGGAGCACTTTTCACACCCGTTTATGAAGTAGGAATGGGAATTAATTTTGTCACCTATGTAACTGGGAATGGGACCTAGAATGGAGATCTCACTTTCCACTTTCATTCCTTGGCAACTTCACAACCCGGCATGACCTATTAGGGCATGGAGTTTTTTCCTAACCCTAACCCTAACCCTACCTATGGGCCCTTGGATGCGAAATTTGGTAAATCCTGGGAATTATAAATGGGGAATGGGAATGGGAATGGTGAATGGAACCCTAACCAAACCCTAAAGCACTAAGCACTTGCTCTTACTAAGGAACCTCAGCAACGTGCAGGTTGTCGAATCTGACCACTTTAACTTGTCCAAATCCCTGTCTCAAAGTTTTGGGAATAAGACTTTTGTACATTTTCCGCATGTTTAGTCCTTCATGTCTTTAGAAGGAGAACGCAGATTGGCCAACTCTTTGCAGATACCAAGAGTCCATTTTAGGGTCTCTCACTGACATAAGTGGGAAGTGTCTGTTGCATACCATTCTCGAGATCTGGGAGGTTGAAAATGGTCAAAAACTCCCAATTTGTCAATTTCTAAACACAATCTTTGCTGTAAATAAGAGACAAACTTTCTCCCTTCTCCTGGGAATTTCTGACCCTATAAGAGACAAACTGGACACCTTGAATGACCCTGTGCCTGGTTTTCTTACCTTTCCAACGACACCAAACTCGTCTCCATCCGATAATCAATGAGAAAGTTATGAGCTTCGGAAAATTCCAATTCTTCCTTTACTTTTGCATGTATCCGTGACTTTCACTTTCCACTTTCATTTCATTTGACCTAAATAGTTCATGACCTAGATAGTTCATCTTCGTTTTTAGCCCTATTCCTAACCCTAACCCTAACTTCAACCTTAAATAATTGTTAGGTTTTTAAATAACTTAAATTTGATCAATACAAGGGAAAGAGCAAATACAAGGTAGCAAAATAAGTTTAATCTTTGTAAAAGAGAAATCATAACAACAGGACAGGTTTAAAACTAGTCCCGTCCTCTAATTAACTCATCACGTACAGCGTTCACAGTCTCAGTTACATCAAAGAGCGATCGCTAGCTTTGTGTATTGGATGCCATCAAAAACCGGTTTTTGAAATGCCGTCTCAACACTGAGCGCGTGCAGACTTGGACATTCACAGAAGGTCATCGGAGAGAGAAGACGTGGAAAAGGTAGGCAGAGTACTTCATAGTTAGCTTAGATTTTTTTTAGCTCTAATTTGATAAAGGTGGAAGACTTTAAGCAAAGGAGCAACTATTTGTATATAAGGCAATAGTTTTCTTGATACCGTACAAGTAGACGTTTTTAGCGAGGATGTAATTTATTATTACATCCTCTGCATGTTATTACACCCAAAGATTAAACTTATTTTGCTACCCTTATTTTAGGTTTCAGAAAGTCTTTCATTTTATATACATTATATAACAATATAACATAGGGGATAATTTGAACAAAGTTTTAATTTATATGCTTTAATTTCTAATTATAATGGAAATCTATATCATTTCAAACTCTATAAACTACATAAATCCGGTGTGATTTTTTCGCTATCCATTTCTATTAATTTTGATTTGAAAACTATCACAATATCTCATTTCCTAAATTATTAAACACAAAAACAATCTTATGATTTCCGGCTTGTATTTCACCATCATTGAAGCTGAATGGTTAAACATTCTTGACATAATCTTGTTCTCTGTATTCTTAGCTTTAAAATGACACCAAACTTGTCTAAATCAAACGACAAATAAAAAAGTTATGGGCTAAAGAAAATTCCATTATATCCTCTAAATAACTAACCCTCTACAACTTTCACTTTCCACTTTCATTTTGTTTGACCTCACATGACCCGGCATGACCTATAACCCGGCATCTTCGTTTTTAGCCCTAACCCTAACCCTAACCCTAACCCTAAACCCCTAACCCTAACCCTAACCCTAACCCTAACCCTGACGTTAATTGTAAGGATGGTTGCCCCCCCCCCCCCACCCAACACACACACTTTTTGTTGTACAGGGAAAATGTAGTCTACAAAATTGGTAATGAAAAAAGGTATCATTGAAAAACAAATTGGGCCTTACAACTAACCCACCCCCCAGAAATAGGATTTTTATCTTTGGATTAGTATTTTTTTTTTTTTGCTTGTCAACTTGTTCAGGTAAGGGGGGAAAAAAAATTTCTCTGGGTGCCCCCCATCCACTTTCAATATCGATTCTACGTGGCTGCTCTTAATAACATTTCAGAGATTCCATGTTTGTCCCCTAAGATTGTACCATTTCAAACTTAGTGCCCCTTTCAGCGTAAACCCTTGTTATCGCTACTCCTCCAAAACCATAAACCGATATAAACCTGATACAAAAACTTCAAAAACGTCTGCAACTCATTTTCTACAATTCTCATTCTATTAGTGTGAAATAATTCGTAAACTATTTTAAGTAGTTATTGCCCCTGAGAATTTATGATGTTTACAAAGAACTAAAAACTTCTTCCCGACAAGTCGTAAAGACATGGAGACAATGCCTGAGATCTCCTGACCTTGGAACTTAAATATTAGGTGAAGGTCAAAGGTCAAGGTAATCGGGAAAGTATGAAAATTGCTTATGTATGCTTCTTCCTTAAATAACCCTGACCTTTGACTGAACAAATATTGAATTGTTATATTCTCTTTATTCTACTCATGTAACACAATGTTACAAATGTAACACTACATAACGTTCACAAAATGTTAAGTTATATTTCACACTTTCTGCAGACTTGGTGACGAATTTACATTTTCCTTGTATTTCGTACAAATACCGGGGATTAAAGTAACATAATAAAGGGTTGTTATTTCTTCGTCTAAGTTTACCACACTAATATTTGCTTCCCTAACATATTTGATAGTAATACTTGAAGGAAAACATGCATATTGCGACAAGTCGTAAAGACATGGAGACAATGCCAGAGATCTCCTGACCTTGGAACTTAAATATTAGGTGAAGGTCAAAGGTCAAGGTAATCGGGAAAGTATGAAAATTGCTCATGTATGCTTCTTCCTTAAATAACCCTGACCTTTGACTGAACAATTATTGACTTGTTATATTCTCTTTATTCTACTCATGTAACACAATGTTACAAATGTAACAGTACATAACGTTCACAAAATGTTAAGTTATATTTCACACTTTCTGCAGACTTGGTGACGAATTTACATTTTCCTTGTATTTCGTACAAATACCGGGGATTAAAGTAACAAATAAAGGGTTGTTATTTCTTCGTCTAAGTTAACCACACTAATATTTGCTTCCCTAACATATTTGATAGTAATACTTGAAGGAAAACATGCATCTTGCGAATTCGCTATATATGGTTATAGGAATTTGTTATACGGATATAACGAATTACGGATATAGCGAATTAAATTAACATGTCCCCTGGGCTTCGCTATAACCGTGTTTTACTGTAAAGCAAAATTATTTTCTTTAATGCGTCATCCATATAAAAAGAGGGTAAACGAGTAGTCGCGAGAAATCCATAACTCTAAAAACATTCATTTTCTGTTGCAGCTTGATCATTTGATAAACAAAGTGTTGCAAACAATTTAAAACAAGATGATTTTTGTAAGTACAGTTACAAACATATTATTTTGTGTTTCTTCTGCACATATTCTTTATCTTAGGTTGCAAATAGTCTGTCATTTCAAAAACATTATATAACAATGTTAAAGATGATATTTGGTGAAGAAAGTATTACTTTATATGCTTTGTTTTTAATTATAATCGCCAGATATTTCATTATTAACTCTTTCAACAAAATTAATCTGACGTCATCTTATCCCTTTCCATTTAAATAATTCCTTATTTGAAATCTGTCACAATATCTCATGTCCATTACTTATAAACATCAAAATTAAGGTCTGATTTCCGACTGTTATTTCAGATTTCGGTACATTTTCTTAATGTTAAGTCATTTATATCTTAAGAAGGAGAAGGCAGTTTTGCCAACAATTTGCAGCTACCAAGAGCCCTTTTGTGGTGTCTCACTGACTTAAGTGGGATGTGTCAATTGCAATCCATTCTTGAGATCTTGGAGGTTCAAAATGGTAAAAAATTCTATTTTGTCCATTATTAAGCACAATCTGCAGTGCAAAGAAAAACCAACTTTTCTCCATTTTCCTTACACCTAGGTTTAATGAGTATCACTTATTCGTGTTCCTCGTTTTCTTAGCTTTCCAACGACACCAAACTCATCTCCATCCGATAATAAATAACAAAGAAATGAGCTTCGGAAAAATCCAGCTTTTCATTTACTTTTGCATGTATCCTTACTTTCACTTTCCACTTTCATTTTATTTGACCTAATTCCGGCATGACCTAATTCCGGCATCTTCGCTTTTAGCCCATCCCTAACCCTAACCCTAACCCTAACCCTAACCCTAACCCTAACCCTAACCCTAACCCTAACCCTAACCCTAACCCCTAACCCTAAC